TCCATAGTTGTCTTTAGAATCATGAAAGTCATAATACGATCCATCTTCTCATTATTATCGGCAAGGAGAAGACAATTAAGATGCGAATTTTAGTTTGATCGGCGTTGAATCGTTTATATCCTTTTAATGTTTTCGCAAAAGGCAAGCGCTTTCCTTCTTGGAGAAACTTCAGAAACGGCCACCGAGTTCCACTAAATCTTTTGCACCCACACTCTCACGAAAAAGGAAAACCAATACCTCTCTCTTTCTCTCCTTTACCCCCCCAATTTCTCTCAACTCAGTCTTATTCCCTCGTTATTCGCAATGTGCCCCAAGGCCCACCCTCTCCTTATTATATCGTCTTTCCACGCCATAAAATCGGAAAAGAATTTTCCCCACCTCCCTTCACCTTCATCCTCAAGACAATAGAAACTAATAAATTTGATTACTGATTACGCCCGTGAATTTTTTTTTTTAAGCCCCAGATGAAGTGCCACTCCACGAGGGTCCTCAACTTTTTATTTTTCAACTTCTCAGAGGGGAGGGGGAAAATATGAAAGTTTATTCGCGAAGTCAATACAGACGCGCCTGAAACTCGGAGGAATAATTAAAATAATTGAAATAATTAAAATAATTACTCATTTGCAAACACCATTTTCATCACATGCTCTCTTTCTTATTTTTTTTTTATGTTTTTTTTATGTACACCAATTAAAGTTTTAAGGGAATACTTGAGAGTGGGAAAATCGTGGGTGTATGATAATATCGCAATATGGGGAGTACCTTTTTGGGTGTAATTAGAGTAGAAGTATCTCGGAAACGGCCTCGGGTGATCGTGCCAAGTTGGCTCCTTTCATAGTCTCATCTTTTTTTTTCTCGGTTTTTTTCTACATTGAAGAGTTGAAATCTTTTCTATCCTTATCATTTCAGGGTACCAACCGTATGTGCCGACCGCTGGTGCTGCAGTTTTATGAAAACCGAGGTATAATACACGACCAATAAGTTACCCCTGACCGTTAATGTAATTCTTCGTAATTAAAAAGTACAAATTATCTGCGATTTCAATATGTGATAAAGTCGAAATTTTTTTCAGACAGTCTGTTGTTCTAATGCTCGATTACTTATTCACTGATTGATTTTGAATTATTAAGACGATTTATGATTTTTCTGGGCCTTTTAGAAAGACCAAAAGTGGATATTTTTGTTTTTCGATTTTTATGCGTCCAAGAACGGAAATAGCCCTTTTTTTTGCGCCCCGACCCCCAGGCCAAATTTGTTCAATAATTTGCAACCTCCCTTGGTCTCCGCAATGATTCCCAAATTTTTGTAATTTTTTGAATTTATGAATTTTTTCGATTTTCCAAATTTTGCTACGACACTGTGACGGCGGGTCGGTTTTATCTTATGGGTCATTCAAAATATTTCGAGATCGACTTCCTTTCTCCTTTTTATGTTAGGATCTAGCAAAAATCATTAGTCGCAGCGTTCTAATTCCAATGGCATTGAATTCCTAAGGCGATTTACGATTTTTCTAGGTCCTTCAGCTTCTATGCGTCCTTCACTTCAATTATATTATTAATATAATTGATTTTCAGCGCTAAGAGCGCTAATTGCCCATGAATGCGCGCAAATGCACGTCTGGGACGCGAATAAAACGACATTTGAAGTGAAATAATTTTTCGAAATTACCAGCAATTGCAATGAGTTTTCAAAGGTCTACCTCTGGGATGAATCACACTACAATGTGGAACACAAGACGCATAAAGATCAATAATGCAACAGTTTTTTCGATAACGGAACATCAGATTTTCGCAATGCGAATCAATTCGATGGGCTCGATTACGCACCAGGACATCATTTGAATTTACGAGCATGACCACTGGTGTATTGATCCATGAATATAAATTCTCAAATCGGATCGTAAATTTATCGAGGCGAATGTCATCCCCAGAGTTCATCCAAGAATGTACCACCAGAGAGTTCATCAGAGTATGTTAAAAATAGAATTGAGGAAATGAAATTAGCAAATATCACTGGAGTCCAGCTTTTTGAAAATCGCCGCGTGTCCTGTATCAGGAGGTCATTTAATCCCCAATTGCAGTTTTAAGTGCAGCTTGATAGTGGGTGTGCCTTAAATTCTCCAGTTAATTGAGGAAGAATTTCGTTATCATTGACAATCTTCAAAAAGTGCATCGCACAAAGTAAGAATTTTTAATGCTGTGTCAGAACGATATGGAAGTGCGACATCGAAAGCAGTTGGCGCGATACGATTGCATACGTTTTGAGATTTTAATTCGAGATGAAAGAAATCGTTGTCTTTCATATCACGCAAAGCCCAATGAGATCTTTCCCTCATTATTCGCTTCTCTTTTGATTCTCCAGGTGCTGTCACCCGACGTACGGATAATTTTTTGTACACCGATCTTGCTCGAGATTTATGAGGTATTTGTAGTCTCACTTCATTAGCGTCATTAAGGGAATGTTTTTGCCCGAACCAACGGCATGCTGTAGAACTTCTGAGATATTGACAAGTTTTTTTGATCCAGTCGAATCGCCCCATCATTCGCTCCTTAAAATTCAACGTTAACTGTTGGCCCACGGACACAAAAATTAACTGAAAATTATGCACCATTTTTTATAATTAGAATTATTCCAACAGAACTGCAGAATTCTTTGACATACTCCCAAATTATTATATATAATATTTTATATACTAATAATAAAAATATATTTTTTTGATAATATAGCATATATTGTATATCAATTTTATTGAAATTCGGGTCATGCCTAATACTATGAAAGGTCGGGAAATGAAGTAATGACTATTTAACTATTTATACAACTCGAAAAATCTCTCAAGTTGGAATAAAAATATGGTGAGAGAAAATGCCAAGTCCCTGGGAAAGTGTAAACAGAGAAACTTTTCTCGTGCTGTCAAGCGTTGAAACTAAAAACAGTTGTAAATTCCATATTTATTCCTGAGCTGAATTAATATCAAGTACACAGTCGCACGGTCTTTGAATCGATCGTTAAATTCCTCGGGGGCAAATCTGTATCTAATGCGTAAACCCAAATATCTGAGTGAAATATTCCAAACAATGTCTTCAATACTATACCCACAAGAATTGAATTAGTGCAGAATCCATTCTGAGATTATTTTCTCTTGAAAAATTCGAGAGGCACAAAAAAAAATTTATATAAAATTCACGAGTCTTCCAGTTCATAAAATAACTCATGCCGAAATAGTTATAGAGATATATATTCATAGAAGGATCGTTTCACCGACTGTCGAAATTAAATTGGTGAACACTTCAGGATGTAGTAATTTATGAAAATATGAGAAGAATTGAATTGAATTGAATATTGAGGGCAGAATGTCTCAAAAACTTTCTGTTGGGCTATTAAAAAAATTATTTACACCACTGGAACGAGGAGTGGATAATTTAATGAAAGAATTGATTAGAAAAATAGCGGAGGTTGTGTTTGTAAATTGTAATAATTTATTTACTCGTGAAAATTTATAATTGTCAGGATGGCCGAGCGGTCTAAGGCGCCAGACTCAAGGTTGATAACCTTCTCAGTGATTCGCTGAGTTGACGGGGCATTCTGGTCCTCTCTGAGGGCGTGGGTTCGAATCCCACTTCTGACAATTTTTTTTTCCCCCGAGTCACGAATTTAATCACAAATTCCCCATCACCTATAACCATCATTAAATAACAATACCCAAAACAAATTAAAAAATTAAATCAAACCACCACATAAAAATTCCCACAAAAAAATAATAAATCCCACAACCGTATAATTTATCAATCGACAAATCGATACCACTCAATACCTAGATAATTTACACCCATCGATAAAAATAACCATAAGCTAAAACAAATTAAAAATATTAACACAAATATTGAGAAGAATAATTTTATCGCCGATCCCGAGTGGAATGATATCGAAGTGATGCACGCTGAAACCAATAATTTTTTTTCTCTTCAAGAATGACCATTCAAAGCGAACAATTTGCGTACATATGAAAAAAATATGTACCCCTTCCCCGGAAATTCACAACTCCCCTTGCTATTGGAGCAATCATTTTCCCTAGAGTGTGCGTGACTTGAAATCGCGGCAATAAGTATAGGATCTACGGCAAAGTCGAATAGATCGATTCGACGAAAGGTATCGTTTACCATTGAATTCAGCCACAATAGCGAGTGTATTATCGGAAAAGTGTTGGCTACCTGAGGGAGTCCTACCAGCTGTTCACATGTACTGAATTGCACAATCACAGTTCAGACACTTTGGTATCATCTATGATTTAAACCGAAATTATCGGATCATCCGATATTCAAATTGGAGAAAATAGCTGATGATAGCGTGGAGTGGATAACCGATCATTTTTTTACGGAAGATTTTTACAGCAGTAGAAGAATAATATCATTCTCTCATCGACAGATTGGAAAATATAATGCAGACACCACATTGTACGCACCGTAGCGTACTGAATATGTTTATCATACTTTTAAAGTGAAGTCGCCCATAAACACAAGTGTCTTACTGTTATTTCAGATGATTTCACTGTTAATTCGTTTCGTTCCAGATTATGTGGTATTTGGAGTTTCGACGGGTCAACGCCTGGTCTTATGAGATTTCTTTATCTCATGTATAAAATCATTATTTATGCGATCATTATTACTTTCTTTGGTACACTCTTTGCACATTTACTGATCAACTGTCGAGACCTTCTAGTTGCAACTGATGATGCATGTTACCTAGCTGGAATATCAGTAATTATCTTCAAGTTGTATAAATTCAATAAACAACACGCAAAAATTAAAATTCTCAGCGAAAAAGTGTACGGACCATTGGATGTTCTTTCCCAATCATCTGGTAAGCATGCATAAATTTATTTATTATTTATTTTATTACCCATTGATCTACTCGTAAACGAAGCGATTTATATGCGAAATATCAGTAATCAATTATAAATTACACATCATTCATCTGCGCAGACATTTCGGCATGAAAAAATGCAGTATGTCACAGATTATCATCACGATTACCAAAAAAAAATTACAGATACAGGAGTCCAAACCCTTCTGAAGACAACAATTAACAACGAAAAAATATTATTGTACTTCTTCATCGTACTAGCTGGATTTCTCGTAATCGCTCTGATGTTATTCGTACCAAAAGCTCCCGGTGAGCTTCCAATAAAAACGAGTTTTCCCTTCGACACCACTATCTCCCCAGGTCATGAAATCGCGATGTACCTTCAAACAGCCGCCGTTACATTCGGCCTGTACTCAATCGTCGCAATGGATAGTTTAGCAATCAACATTTGCAGATGTCTCAGCATTCAATTACTGGCATTATCATCGAATTATGAAAAATGCATGATCCAGACGTACGATCGGTGTCACCTGATAACATCTCGTTCCATCAAGCCATCAAAACGGTCAGATCTCCAATCGAGAGAGAAAACTATTGTTATACGTAAATTTGCGCTGTTCCGGAAACAGGAAGAGCGCGAAGAGAGCGACTCGTTTGTCAAGCGATTCCGTCTCTGCGAGATACATCATCAAAGAATAATATCCATGATCAACGAATTCAATTCAATTTTCAGTAGCTGCATGCTCATGCAAATTTTCTCTAGCTTCTCCATGATATGTTTCGCTGGTTTTCAGGCTGTCCTAGTGAGTGGCTGTTGATGAAAATCTTAGCAACTTCATTGACTGCTATTTTCCATTAGGGGGCATCGTCCAAGGAAAGCGTTTTCAAATTTATCGTCTATCTTGGTGCTGCCATGTCTCAATTGGTCAATTGGTGCTGGAGTGGAAATCAATTAATATATCAGGTAATATTTATAAAAATTGTTCTAGCCACAGATTTCACGACCTGATACTGCCCACCATAACACTCGATAAAATTTGTTCAATTTGAAGCTTTCGCTCGCATCGCAATAAAGTCATGACTTGTTCAATTGAAAATGATAGTTAATATTCTGTGTTCAGTGTTCAAAAGCATCCGCCACATGCCAAAGATCAGTGATAAGTGGACTCCAGTGATTATGAAAAATATGCGCCCTACCATTAACGGCTAATTTGTGGTGTTATTAGAAAGTAAGAAGATCCTTCCTGACACTTACTAATCAATAAATTTCCGGTGGTTATCTATCCGCACGTGTTGCTTAAACTCTGGAGGGCATCTTCAAAGAGCTCATTACGAGTCATAAAAATTAACTGTCCACCCGTAGAGCACATCGCTGTTTGAGAGTCAGTGGCTGTCTGGATGGGAACATCATCTCGATAATCATCAAGTCAAGACATTGATGCTCATGTCAATGATGAGAACAAAAAATCCTCTGCAATTACGAGCTGGAAATTATTACAGCATGTCCATGCACACCCTCATCGCTGTAAGCATATTATATTTCTCCTAATACTTGATATATGTCGCTAATTGGCATCCATACAAATCCATGACATGTTTACGCAGATATTGCGAAACTCCTACTCCTTCTTTGCACTTCTGAGAACCGTAATGGAGGCAGCATGAGTCGGTATTAGTCTGCTCTTATTTTTCAACGTATTTGAGTTACAACAAAGGTGCCAAAAATTTTTTACAACACTCCATCATTAGTCCTAATGCAAAAAATATGTCGAGTCCTGTGAGTCATTAATTTTTTATGCTCATTATCTTTTTTAGGGGTCATTACGGAAATTGGACGTGGATAAGCGTTCATATCATCATTGAACTGGTGGTGACAATTTTCATCGTTTTGGCAAACTGGTTGCTGTCCAATCGACGCGAAACTACCGGCCGTTTTATGATTGCGAAACTTCCAAAAAAAAAACAAAAAAAAAACAGGATTTCTATTCTGGGATCCACTTGATCACTTGTTGCAGGACATCACTGGACCAGTCGTTATATATTTTTCTCATTTTGAGTTGATGAGACAGTTTTATTTTTCTCTCTCGCAAATTACGGAATGAGAATTGAGTCATGTGTGCCATTGTCGCAGGTGAAAACCGCTGGATTCACTCTTATTTAATTCATTTTATCTTAAACCGTGTGTAACTGAGTCGGTGACACACTGGCATGAAGATGGTAGCATCTGATTGCAAGGTGGTATTTCTCTCACAATTTATCTCCACATCCGCGGTGTCTTTCCACCGAGAGAGTAAATATAAAATATATAATTTAATTAAATTAATAACACTGCGTAATTATGTCACGAGGATGATTTCTTGGGTCTATTAATGTCACCAAGTGCGTTTTAAATAGTTTCACATAATCTCTATTTTTTACTCAGTTCTTCTCAGTTAGAGGAACTATCGTGCTAGCTGAGAATTCTCCGTACGAGTTGTCGCGATCTTGAAGTTGACTCTCTACTTCTAACTCGGCTATCTCCATACTCCTATTTTGCTCACCCTGGGGATATATAATTACAGAAATTCCACGGAAATCGGAACTTCTTTGTCCACATGCGAGAAAATTGCACGTATCGCAGAATCCTTGAAATAGACGTGTCGCTCGTTAAAAAAGAAAATTAATTAACATCAGTGGTAGCTTGTAGTTATGCAGTTATCAGCATAACGAAATGACTGATAATACATTATATTTTTTCCCAGTGGAGAAGTAGAAATGAAAAATGCGAGCAACTGGGTCACGTGTATTTTTTTATTTTCATAATGCTCTTCAAAGCAGACTGAATGACATTTAATGATGTTATCGGCAGATCGATGTAGTAAGAATTCACGACACATGATCACCGATATCCGTTACAGATAATTGCGGGTTTTAATTGATTTAATTGCTCAGGTGGTCTTGTGATGATGGAACGACGAAATTTCGTTGAAGTACGGAGGATGAAAGCAAATGAGTAAATGAGTGAATGAGTAAATGAGCAAATGAGCAAATGAGCGAATGAATCCGGAGATCAATTCAATGAAAGAGACTTGAATTCGTTGACTCGTGGGCTGAGGTCTATGCAGATGGTAAAAGGGATGATTTTGCACAAGGTATGACAGACCATGACGGGATCACTTCCTAGACATATGCCGCGGCTTTGCCACATGTTATCCTAACTGTTAGTCAGCATCTAAGTACTTTCCCCCTCTTCATCTATTACTCTGTGACGTTTTACTATTATCATTTATACATCAGGGATCTGTATCTCGTATTAACTCTAGTATCATCACCATTATTTGTCGGTGAATTGATAAAAGCCATTGATGCATTTCACTTATTCTAGAACGAGAAATTCATTCCGGTAAAAACTGTCAACCGAAATGTTAAACAGGTAATTAACGGTCGAAACGATGTGACTCGATACCGCTACGGATCTGGTTTCATTATTACAATATCTTATTGGTTTTTTTTTTACCTAGAATTATTCATTTTGGTGATAATTCGAAAAAAAAATTTATCGTTAATTTATTGGAGTTGAAATATAACTGTTCTTCATTTTTTTGGAGTTCAGTGAATCCTGCGGCATGTGGAAAAATCAAGCGTCAGTGGGGACATTGATTTTTACAGCTTGTGGATTTTTTTGGTCATCGATTGATTATTGGAGAATCCATATGTCGAAGTGTGATTGCAATTGTATGTAACAAGCTATGCAATTTTTGAAGTAAATTACCAATCGTGATTTTCAACTCTCAAGTATTGTCTAGTGAAATAAAAATTTTTATTTTTGCAGAAATTACGAGATTTTTTTTAGTCAGCGCTAAATGTTGATCGATTTACAAAATTTCAAGTTGCTCTTAAAATTCAAAAGAATTTTAAACTTGTTAATCCGCGAGAAATGGCGATCCTCGTACTTGAATTTTCAATGGAAACATGAATATTCAGTACTACATTATGCTGGATCTTTAATTCAACGGCGATATATTCCCCTGAATTTTTCTGGCTGCTAACAATCTCCATGGAATGTTGAACCTGAAGTGGAACCCAAAATTGACAATTGCCCTTCTCCAAATTTTTTGCATTATTCTCCCTTTTTTTATTTTATACACTGACGAATGATAGACGAATCAGAACATGAAACGAATTTTATATGTATAATTTTATATTAAAGTGTTACGTACGCTATTTAAAAAAAATCACAAATAATTTCCCCAAAAATAGCATAAACACAAATGCGATATGTTCTATTGGAATGAAATGATATGACGAGTCAGATAAAACGTTCCAATTAACCCGTCAACCACCGGACGACATTAGAAGCCGATGGGCACGCGCCTCGTCCCCACCTCTATTACGAGGAATCGTTTGATCATCACCGAGCATTCCTCAAATATAAAAAGGTATCACCGGAGGTGCGCAATATGAAAAGCCACCGGAGATCCGAGAAACCGACGGTGGAGAGAGAATAGGTAAATAACGACAAGTAGGAGGAGGTGATACTAAACGGGGGAGGGGATATCGGGGAAGACCGCGAGGATGCCGTTGAGAGAAACGGACTCAAGTCCCCCTTGTTGTAGACTTATTCTCCAAGCCACAAACTACCCGGCCACCAAGCAGCACAGATCACCTTTCAGTCCCTTTTTTTTCCCCTCCATCAATATCATTAACTCGAATGACACGAATTATTCATAAATAATTGCTGTCATGTGAATTGATCTGCTGTCACGTGAATTGATCCCTCTGACGATTAAAGTGTCGGATTCAATTGTGCAGTGCTGAACAATTATCATTGATTATCGCCATTATGAAAAATATTTTCAATATTTTGTGAGTGGTTCGTGTTTTGAAATATCAACCGAAGGATCTTCCTGCGGGGCTATTCATCGGCGGTAACTCAGGTGACTATTTCAACTATTCCCCACGTCTTCTTCATCTCTTGGATAATTAATTAATTAATCAGTGGCACTGGAAGAAAAAATTCCCGGAGAATTTTTCCTGGAAAAAATTTTCTCGGGAAAAAATGTCCCAATTAAATTCCCCGGAAATGATTTCTCCCGAAATAAATCATCGCCATTACAGAAATTAAAAAGTGATTAATGTTAAATAATGATGCACTATAGAATTTGTCAAGGGGAATTTTTTTTCAGGGAAATTTTGACGGAGTCATTAAGTCCGGGAGCAATTAAATCGATTCAATCGATATCACTCTGATTTTTATCGTACCCTTGAAGTACATGAAGTCATTGAAATACTAAATGACGGCCTTGCAAGGCCGTCGAGAAGGCACGAGCCTACACAACCTGCGGATGTAACACGCCTCTCCGTCCCCAGGACTTGTTTCCTCTGATCTATAATGCAAAAAAGGACAAATGTCAAATAAATCTCTCAATTTGCCTTTTGCCTGTTTTTTCATCGGCCACTTAATTCCCATCTCTTCTTATTCCGAAACAAACCACCCAGTGCGCGAGCTTCTGATTCGAGATCTTGTTCTTCAAGGAAAATAAAAGAACATGTTTGTTCAACTCGCGGCAAACGTGTTATCAAGTGTCGATGATGATACTCATGTTGGATAGAGATTGCGACGGATAATCATGTGGGTAACAGTCTACTTCGTACTTGTGTATTCCTCTGAATCATCTCCACTTTGCATTCCCTCGATGTAGATTTTCTCAAGTTGCACGCGAGTAATTTTTTCCGACAATCATTTCTTTTTTTTACACCACTTTTTTCTCTCTTTGAAATCTCCACTGTACCATTTTCCTCGCACTGTTGCACAGTCGGGAAAAATGAAAGAAAAATT